TTTTTTTTTTTGTATATTAGTTGTTAGTTCTTTTGCTGCAGTTCTTTCTCGTTGCTGCATCTCAACAGAAGCCGCAACTCCCTGCATGCAGCTTCTCTTTACTTAGTTACCAACAACACAAACAAATACAGGCAAAGGCAGAAGGGCCCCCAGGGTGTCCTGGGGGCCCCCCCTGCTAGTATTGTTCGATGTGTATGTACACCGCAGTGATAGTAGCCAGGGTGTATGTACACCTCATCGCCGCAATGCTCAACACATGTAGTTGTTTTTTTGCTGTTGTATGGGGTCTACATAAGAGCTGCTGCAGTCTTACCTAGTGTCTATATACACCCCCCGAAACAGCAGCAACGCTCAGCAGCTCGCGCTGCAGCAGACGCTTTCTCCTGCAGCAGGAGAAGCAGCAGCAGCAGCAGCAGCAGCAGCTGCTGCTGCTGCTGCTGCTGCTGCTGCTTTCGCGTAGTGTTCATAACTAGGGGGCCCTTGGCGCCCACCAAAGCGAGTGGGGGGAGAGGGGGGCGGGCTTACAAGTGAGAAGGAGAAGAATACAAGAAAGTTTTTTCGCTGCAAAAAGTAAAACTAAATAAAAAAAACAGAAACAGAAAGAATTCATGTTTCAGTGTCACGACACCTCAAGACATGGATGGAGATGAACTGCTGCTGCAGCAACAGCTGCAGCAGCAGCAGCAGCTGCAGCTGGCGTTGATACGGCATATATGAATACTTTAACGAGGAATTGCCTTTATAAACAAAAACTAAATTCTTTTTTTATTTTTATTTTTATATTTTATTCTCCTCTTGGATTCACTGAACAGACCCTAAGCGGGTCCTCGCTCACAACCGCCGCTGCTGGCCACCGGCGGGGCCCCCCTCCTCATTGCCCTTTGGGGGTTTATGGTGGAATTGAATTATAAATTAATTTATTTTATTAAAATTTTCGTAAATATGTGCAAAAATATTGAGGGAGAGGAGGAAGGGGCGTAGGCGAAGGCCGCAGTGTACATACACCCGAGCAGCCTCTCCTCTTGTTAATATATGAATTGAATAAACCACTTTATATATTTAGACATTTGCGTTTTCTCTTTACTTTTTTTTTTTTTTTTTTTTTTTTTTTTT